GATTGAAGATGACATTGGACTTTTCTGTCTTCCAGATCCAGGAGAGGCAGCTGGGTTTCCGATAGACGTCAAAGCTCTGCTTTTCCTGCTCCTCCACAGTGGGAAATGTGGTTCGACACTGACAATCTAAACCATCTACAAATGAAGTAAGCTTTTTCAGCTCCACAACCCCCATAATTCCTCATCTGTCAACTTCCTTTGAAACCCTCTGCTCTGCTGGGGGCTATGGGCATGACGATTTGTTTGCTGGCTCTTAGACCAATTTCAGATCAGAAGACTGACGTAGGAATCTTGAGAGAATGATGGGATGGCCTGGAAGGATACCTGTCCAAGATGTTTTCACCTCCAGAGGGCGGTGGCTAAGTAACCCATACCTGCTTACCACTGTTATCAGCACTGTGGCTCTAAAGCCCAAACAGGTCAAAGGTGGCCTGTGTGCCCACCCAGCTGGATTGCTGGGTTCCCTCTGTAACTCAGGGCTCAGATGCTAGGAACATGTGTCTCTGTCTCTCTGAGAGTGAAATGAATCCTAGTTCCCCAGGGCAGTTTGCTGACTCAGATGCAAATGCCACACCAGTTGCTCTGATCATCAGTCGGAAAAGGTGGAAGATGTTGGGACATAAGATTAGAAGGAGGAGAAAAAAATTGTAACCTTGTAGTCCCAAAGCAAACTGGCAAAGTAGCCAGAAAAACCAATTCTGACTCTAGCTCTTGTAGACCAGGCTGGCCTCGAACTCACAAAGATCCGCCTGCCTCTGCCTCCCAAGTGCTGGGATTAGAAGTTTTTCACCTCTATCATATGTCAGTTAACACACCTACTGCTCACCACAGTACAGACTTAAATGTGGTGGTGCAACCCAAGATTGCTCCTTCTTCCAACATCGCTGGTCCATAAGCAGACATTCCTTTCCATGCTTTAAACTGCGCAGGAAGTGCTTCAGGTGACCTCAGAACAACCCTGGGGATGGGGGAAGGCGGAGGACGACGACGATGATGGTGATGATCTGAGGCAGGGTCTCACTGTGTAGTTCTGCTTGGCCTGGGATGAAAGGTGTGTGACACAATACCTGGTGGATTATTTTTATGATCTCTGTGCTACTGGGATCCAACACGGGGCTTCATACGTGATAGCAAGTGTTCTTTCACTGTCCTTTTTCTTTGAGACAATATCTTGCTTCATTATTGAACTGTCCTTGAACTTCTGATTCTCCTGCCTCAATCTTTTAAGAAGCTGGTTTATGAGTATGAACCACTACTGGGCTTCATTTATCTTTCACAGATAAGGATTCTATCTTTTTTTTAAAAAAATTATTTATTTATTTATTATGTATACAATATTCTGTCTGTGTGTATGTCTGCAGGCCAGAAGAGGGCATCAGACCTCATTTACAGATGGTTGTGAGCCACCTTGTGGTTGCTGGGAATTGAACTCAGGACCTTTGGAAGAGCAGGCAATGCTTTTAACCACTGAGCCATCTCTCCAGCCCCAGGATTCTATCTTTTAAAAATGCAAAAACTGGACTGATGGCTCAGTGGTTAAGAGTACTGGCTGCTCATCCAGAATTCAATTCCCAGCACCCACATGGTAGCTCACAACCATCCGTAACTCCAGTTCCAGAGGATCTGATGCCATCTTCTGGCCTCTGTGGACACCAGGCATGTACATATTATACAGACATACATGCAGGCAAAATATTTATACACATAAAATTTTTAAAAAGAATGTAAAAGCTACTGAGAAAGGATGAGAGCCCCACTACTTGACATTCTGAGTGTCAGGTCCAGAAGGAACTTAGAACAAATGGCTAGCTGTGGTGTCTATTAGCATACAAAGGACGAGCTGGCCTACACACGAACACTCAGTACCTGTGGCCCTTTTCAGCTCTTCTCACCACACCTCCCTATCCTAAACTTCTCCAGCTCATGGGCTTCTCCTCCCCCTGCTCCTGATTCCTATATAACCCTGACATTTCAGCCAAGTGCTCTCTCGGCCCCTCCCTCTCTCATGGTCTCCTTTGCCCACAGTCTTCCTTCCCTTCTCGCTTTCTCTTACCTCCCTCATGGCCCAGTCCAGTCTGCTGGCCATGGCCAGTCTACTTCTTTCTCTCCCTGCTCTGGACTCTTCCAGATGCCCTGGCTCCACACTTTCTCATATCTACAATAAAAACCTCCTCAACCATACCTTGGAGTGGTCATGTCCTCAATTTATACACTGAGAAACCCAGCCCTTGAGTTTGCTTTGGCCTTTCACAGCCTCCACGGAACCTCCATGGACCATGTCCAAAACAGTTTCTTGGTGAAGCAGAATAGTGAAAGAACCACCCCTGGATTACAGTGAGAGACCTACTCCTTGAAGAAACCTATGATCAAAACTCATGAAAACAGAACAAAAGTCACTGTTGGCTAGTTTGGACACAGGATAATAGGCTCTCAGGAGACTGAAAATGCTCCAAGTCACCATCAGCTTTTATAGTTCTATGGCGGTTTGAATAGGAATGCCCCCCATAGGCTCATATAATTTGGATGCCTGGTCATTAGGGGGTGGCACTGCTGGACAGGGATTAGCAGGTGTGGCCTTGTTGGAGGAGGTGTGGCCTTGTTAAAGGAAGGATGTCACAGAGGTTTTGGGGTTTCAAATGCTCAAGTCAGGTCAGTGTCTCTCTCTTCGTATTGCCTGCTGAGATGTAGAACTCTCATCTACCTTTCCAGCACCATGTTTGCCTGTATGCTAATATGCTTCTGAAGGTAAAAAAGCCAGCTTCAATTAAATGCTTCCTAAGAGCTACCATAGTCATGGTGTCTCTTCACAGCAAAAGAAACCCCGACTAAGACAGTCTCTCATCCCCAGGGTTCTTCCCTTGACACAAAGGTACTCACAGTACCAAGGTCAGAAGGTTCACTTTTCTGCTAGGCTAGCATTGGTTCAGACAGTAGTGGGAATGACTTGTAAGCCACCTCTACACAGGCAGGTGCCCATCAATCATGAGCCTTTGCTAATATCTATGAAACATTCCTCAGACTTCCTGTACAGAAAAATCTACCAGCATTTAGTTTAGAATTGCTGAAAGAACTTACATCATATTGAAAGCCAATTTCTTGCTTTTAGTAGCCCCTGGTTAATCAGAATTCTCAATTAAATAGAGCCTAGCAACCTGTTTCGAAAACAGCTTCACATTAAGACATTCATGTGAATGAATGAACAAACGTTTCCACATTCATTTGCTGCTTGATGACTGGGCCACACTGAGAGAAATGTGCCATAGACTATCTCATCCCTAAGGGAAAGTCATAAAATGTGTTCTGAGATTCCTGGAGGCAGGATCGCCATTTTCAGACTAAGGTAGAGGTAAGATCCAGTGGCTGGCTGTTTAGCTTTTCTGGTCTTCAGGTTGAACTCCAATATCTGTCTCTGGGTTTTTATTAATTATGCTACAGACCAAAATGGCTGCAATGCAGTGAAATTCAAACTTATACAACCACCACTGCGTACTTGGTCTGTCATTAGCCAAATGTCACTATGACTATATGTTCAAAAATAATACAAAGCTGACTAAAAAGGAAACTTCCTTTGATTATAACAACTCAGTGAGAACTGGTGAGCAAAACTAGGACCCTGAAGAATGTAAATATGCTATATCACAAAAAAGATAAACCCATATTCACATGAAACTGGTTAATTATATGCAGGGAACATCTGATGCATTAGGTAAAAACAAATCGGGATTTTCTGCTTGCTCTGTGTTAACTAGAGTTTGTGAACCACCACAGATCCACTTGTACCCTAGTGCCATGGGGTCACCACTTAGGCAGAGATCCACCTGTCCACCTGTTCTGATGGCCTGCTCAAAACACACACTGCATGATGTCAGGGTAACAACACCAAAGTGGGCATATGAAGCTGAAAAAACAGGAATCTATTCACTGTCAGGCTCAAATGACACTCAAAATTGTGTTCAGGTCATGGGTCCTTGAGACTTTGTAAGCTCCTATTCATCTGATGAAAGATCTACCTGGAACTTCAATACTTCTTTTTCTGGGACAATGAGCAAATATGAATCTCCTGGGCACAAGGTTCAGAGTTTCTTCTACTTGACTACAGTGAGGTTGCTAAGGGACAGAGCCTATACTTCTGTCAGAAAGTGTCAGAGGCATAGTGGTATGGGTATGACTGGGATGACTGAGGATTAGGCGATAACAGAGGTAGGGTGACAGTTTAACACTAAGCAAAATAAATTCCTTCTACTGCCTAGGCATGTTGAATGAATAATCTGCAATGCTTTGATTAATTGACTCAACACAAATGTTGCTTGCTCATCTCCTGGGTATCTGCACTAGAACTGTCCATGTGCAGCTCCCTCCATGCTGCAGGTGGGGTGGAAACCAAAGTGGCCTTAGAATGGCCATGGGACAGCCAGCTCATGGCAACTGGCTCAAAGATGCACAGTGCTCTGGGTTTGCTGGAAGAAAAAGGGTGTGCAAAGAATGGGAAGCTTGAGAGAAAAATGAGAATGAGTGACCCACGCCCAGAAGCCACCAGCTGTGATAAGTCTAAAGAGTGCACCACCACAGGGTAGGAGTGATCTTGGACAAGAGACACCAGTCTTAAAAGCATCAGAATTGACCCCACTCCATGCTAGAGTTATCTGTCAAAGGAGTACACCACCAAGAAGACAAAGGACTTAGAGACAGATCTGATTGGACAGGAAGCCATGACCTTCCGCAGCCCAACAGTGACACGAGATAGACAGCAATGGGTCCTGCAGCCCCATGACATGCTCTTCAGAATGAGGCAGCCTTCTGGGCCCTGGAGGCTGGTCTGGGCCCCTCAGGGTGGACACCTGCTCTCACCCTTAAAGCATGCTGTGGCCAGGCCCCAGGCTTCACCTGCCCTCGGGAGGGCTCCATGTGGCCCGAGGACAGAGACAGGCAAGCTCATGCATAGGTTAGTATCACAGACGGCAGGACCATCACCACAGACAGAATACCTGGGAATAACCTACTTTGAGGACTCAAATGCAGATAGGTCTTCTGCCTTGGGCTTGAGGCTAAACAAGCAAAATAAAATGAAAAAACAAAGATATACCCTGTGAAATCAAAATGCCACATGTGTCATTTGCAAAATGCTCAGAAATTGAGACAAGTGACTTCATGTACTTTCATGGCTTGAACACTGGCCTCTCTGGTTTTCAGTACTTCAGGGTCTTGTGGCTCAGAGGCCAGCTCACCACTGAGCAGGAACACAGGTTACTGCCCAGGGTATACAAATGACAAGGAGGCACGATGAGGGTCTGAGGTTGTTCCCTCAGGGCTGTTTTGGCTTAAGGGTAGAGGCTTCCTTTTTACCTTTTTACTCCCTTCCCTTTATAAGACAGGGTCTTATATAGCACAGGGTGGTATTTCTTTCTTTCTTTTCATTTTTTCCCTTTTTTGGTTTTTTGAGACAGGGTTTCTCGGTGTAGCTTTGAAGTCTGTCCTGGAACTTGCTCTGTAGACCAGGTTGGCCTCAAACTCACAGAGATCCTCCTGCCTCTGCCTCCTGAGTGCTAGGATTAAAGGCATGCGCCACTACCACCCAGCACTGGACATGAATTTTCTATGTAGCCAAAATTATCTTCAATTTTCCTGCCTCCTCCTACTGAGTTCTGTGTGCCACTATGCCTGGTTTAACTCCCCCTTTGACTTTTAATAATTTTGTTAGAAAGGAGAAATCCAGAAAACAACAGGGGCTGTAGGAAAGAGGGTGTGGAGGATACAATGCCTCCCTGGTAGGTCATGCAGTGGTTCTCTACTTGGTGTCCACTGTAACATGTTAGGCAGAAGCAGAGCTCCTGACTGTCTATCTGTTTATCTACCCACCCACCTACCTACCAGTGATGATATCTATCTATCTATCTATCTATCTATCTATCTATCTATCTATCTAT